AACCCTCAGTATTCATGTTTACTTGCAGCGTAAACACTTTGCTATAAGTAAATTTTGGGTTGCAACTTGGTACTTGGTCTCTAAAAGGTTCACCATCACTGCTGTAGAGTACAACAGACAACTGCAAGCTGGGTATGCTGGTACTGGCCTGTAACCCCAGGACTCTGAGGTTACAGTCCATGCAGAAAAGATCAAAAATTAAAGAGCAATCTGGACAACCTGGTAGCTTAATGAGACCTTGCCTTAAAATTCAAAAATATAAATAGGTGCCAGGCATGGTGGTGCATGTCTATAATCCCAGCACTTGGGATTACAGGCAGATTGAGGCAGGAAGATTGTTGCATGTTTGAGACTAACCTGGCTACACAGTGAGCTCAAGGCCTGTCTCAAAAACAGACCCAAAAAATTAAACACTGAAGATAGAGCTGAGGATGTAGCTCAGTGGCACAAGAGCCTGTCTGGCAAGTGCAAGGTCCCAAGTTTGAATCCCTGTACCTAAAAATTGTAAAAATTAAAAAAAATTTCAAAAGGCTGAGGCTCTTTTTTCTTCTTCTTCTTTTTTTTTTTTTAGTGGTACTAGTGATCAAACTTAGGACCTTGCGCTTGCCAGGCAAGCACTTATTCCACTGAGCTATCTCCCCAGCCCAGGGCTGAGGGATATAGCTAATACAAAGACCCTGGTTTCAATCCCCAGTATTTCATCATCATCATCATCATCATCATCATCATCATCATCATCATCATCATCATCACCACCACCACCACCACCACCACGTTTTTTAGTGGTACCAAGGATCAAACTCGAGACCTTGTGCTTATGCTGCTGGGCTACATTCCCAGCCCATCCCAGTATTACAAATAAAGTAAAAAAAAGACAATTGTAATATATAAGCCTATTTTAAGGACCCGATTTCAACAAACCAATTCTATAAAACAGAGAAGACCACAGTAGATTAGATGTGGTGGCACACATGTGTAATCCAACCACTCAGGAGGCTCATGCAGGAGGTTCACTGTCAGTTCAAGGATAGCCTAGGCTACATACTAAGTTCAAGGCCAGCTTGCACTACATAGTCAGACCCTGTCTCAAAACCCCACAATTTTAGAGCCCAGCATGGTAGTGCACATCTATAATCCCAGCACTTGGGAGGCTGAGGCAGGAGGATTGTTTTGAGTTCAAGATCAGCCTGGGCTGTTACAAAGTGAGCTCAAGGCCAGCCTGAACTGCATAAAAAAAAAAAAAAAAAAAAAAAAAAAACCCACAATTTTTTAGATATAATTATATGGGCTAGGAAGATAGCTCAGAGGCATAAGTACCTGCCTGATAAATGCAAGGTTCTGGGTTTGATCCCTGGTAAGAAAACAAATAAATATGTAATATATATTGTTTGTATGTTTTTAAAAGTCCTTATGTCTTATAAAATAAGACCTTTATACTTCTCTAGGCAGCATTTAAGTAGCCTTGGAAGCAGGCTACCTCTGGACATTAGAATGCATAGAAAACATGATACACAGCATTGGGAACAAGAATGCTGGACATGTAAATTCAACTTAGTTTCCTGATGCCTCATTTATTTGGATCTAAAACAGTTAGAGCTCAAAGATGCATTCACAATAACTTCAAATATTTACCCAAAACAAAGCAATTACTCATCCAATTTTGACACATTCACAACAGAGCTACAATTTGTATGTCTCACTGCCAGACAGCTCTGAACTACCTGAGATCCCATCAGGTTGCATGGGACAGTCACACATGCCACCCAATGGCCAGTCATGCATGTACCCTGATGGTTTAAGCCAGCAGGAAGGTATTAAAGAGTATTTTTGCTCCTATGTCTCAGTAAGTACTACTGTGTTACTTTCCTTGACAATCCTAGACCCTAAAAACAGATGAAAAGCACTGCTCTTGTAGTTTATATGCCAAAGGGTTATAAAAACACCATGGGAAAGCTGACACCTCACCTCAGCATGGACAGAGTTGATGTGATACTTGACACCACTCTCTGACACAAACTCTTTCTGGCATAGAAGACACTTGTATTTTCCAGCCACAAAAGTTCCCTATTTCCAAAAGAGAAAAGAGAATTACTGGTTAATTCAAGAGCACTTACCTGTGCAGAAATATTTGAGATGAAAAGGGGAGATTATACTTCAGCAAAGGTAAGAAGAATAAAGACCCACAATAGCAGCATATTTAGGAAAATTATCTTAAGGAATCTCTCTGGGGCCAGATAGCTCAGCGGATTAAAGTGCCTGCTCAGGAAGATGCAGGGGTCAGGGGTTCGATTCCCAGCCTGCCATACAGGCCCCACCCCAGGGACGTGCTAAGATGCGATTGAGACTGGGCGTGGTGGCGTGCCTGCAATCTCAGCACTTGGCAGGCTGAAAAACAGGAAGGATCACTACAAGTCTGATCTCTGTAGTGAGACCCTATAAACCCTGTACTAAATACATTTTTTTTTTAAATATTTATTTATTTATTTATTTATTTATTTAGTGTCTGTGTGTGGCCAGCTCAGCCCACCAAGGGGCGGGGCTGGCTGGCATGTGGTGCTGGGGGATTGAACCGCAGTCCCTGTGCTTCGCTTGGCTTAGCTTGGCTTAGCTTGTTCTAAGTAGGTGCTTTAGACCACCGAGCCATCTCACCAGCCCACTAAATACATTTTTAAAAAAACAAAACAAAACCTCTCTGAATGCAATTCTGCACCAAATATCCACTCCTACTTTTAGCACCACTTGATGTTCTACTTGTACTATGTACCATGCCATTTTTTTCTACCTCCTCAGGTTCCTTCAACTTCATAATGAAACCTCTCAAAAAATTAAAACCAGAGGCGGGTGTGGTAGCACACATCAGTAATCTCAGCACTTGGAAGGCTGAGATAGAAGGATCTCAGTGAGTTCCAGGCCAGCTTGGGCTACACAGTGAGTTAAAGGCCAGCCTGAACTATATACAGAATGAGATCCTGTCTCAAAAAAAAAAAAAAAACCCTCTAAAATGTTCTGGACAGATCCGAATCGATGCCTATAACTTCCTTGCTGCACTGATCCAAGTGCCTTCCCTCCTCTCCTGCAGTTTCTGGTCCTCATGGTGCTATTTTATGTGAGGAGATACTCCTGAGTAGGACTGAAAAGTGGGAGCATTTTCCACAGCTCGTGGGTTGTAGGATACCTCCTGGTCTACATGGAAAACAGTGAGCAAATGGCTGGCTGTAGGCTGACATCCCATCCTATCTCCCATCCGGTCTCCCATCCCTAGAGGCCAGTACAGTTCAGATGAATTTGGAAGGTCTTCACTGGTCCACATAAGTAAGCAAAATTTGTTCTGGGATGTTTTGGACCCAAAAAAAACAGCATGCCAGTGTGGGAGAGGCTCAGGTGGAGCTTCTCCTAGGAATGCAGAATTCAAATGTCACTCCAAAGTCCTTTCATCAGTGTATGATGGCTATGTTGGCCTTTCCTGCATTTTAGATGAATTCTGACATCCCATTCAATGAGTCCGAGAATTTTCATGGCACAGAGGACTAAAGCAGGCTCTAATAATGACAGTGTACAAGATGAGTAGATGTTCACCCAAACTGAGTTCTTTTCTATGTCAAACTGTTTTAGAGGACATATTAAGAAACCAACTTTAAAAAGTTACAAACCAATGTACACGAGCCAAGGTGAGCTTTAAGGCCAGACACACTACTGTACACAGCCTCACAACCCTAAAAAAGAAAAAAAGAGGTAAATGTGATAACACATAGAATCCTTTTCTTAGTATCAGACATCAGAATACATAGAGAGCATAGCAGGATAGTGATCACTGTGGAACAAAAATGTCAGCTGAATAAATTTAACCTAGTTCCCCATTGTCTGATTTATCTGGAACTTTAACACTTATACATACAACATTTACTTCACAGAAATACAAAAAAATATATGCTTAGTATGTTTACTTATTTATTTATATTTTTAGGGATGGGTCTACAGAGTGTTCAGGGTCTCACTACTAGATTGAACTCGTAGTCATCTGCCTGTTTACAGCCTCCTAAGAGCTGGGATTACAGGTGTGTGCCACCATGCCCAGTCTCAACTGCTGTCTCAGTGCACCCCGGGGGCAAGATAAGCACAGTAGGCCCAGGGATTGAACTCCTGGCCCAATATGATTAGTTTAAAAACCTTTAAGTGCAAGTGTACCTCCCACTTCTGTATTTTCCTCCTCAAATTACTGCATATACAGCTCTTGTAGCAATTTTTCAGATGATGGCAAATGTATGCTACTCCTGCTATCAAGAGCAGAGCCTATTTAACCTCCCTCTGAGTTTCCACTGGCCCTTAGATGCTGCTGATGCAAGAGTGCCATGAAAGTGATGCTGTACAAATTCTGAAGAGGCCAGAAGAAATCTTCAGCTTTGGCTACACCAGATGGCACACAACTGTGGTCCCATCTACCTGGAAGATGAGGCAGGAAAATCATCATCTCAAGGCTGGCCTGGGCAACAAAATAAAAACATGTCTCAAATGAAGTAACAAGGGCTGAGCACATAGTTCAGGGTAAAGCAACTGCCTAGTTTGTGCAAGGACCTGGATTCAATCTCCAGCATCACACACAGACACACACACAAACAGATCTGCAACTTCTGCTTTGTCAGAATCCACTCCAAGTAGTCAGTCACTGTGTAAGCTGCTGGTAATCCAACTGCCCCGCTAGAGAGAAAAGCAATATAGGTATCCAGGGTCCTGACTAAATGCAAAAGCATAAAAGCCAACTTGGACATTACAATTCCATCTAGCTAGAGCTCCAGAGTGATCCCAGCTGAGGCCACACAAAGTAGGACTAGTCTTCTGTTGGCTCACCCAACAGAATTATTACTCTACAGAAATATCAACAAGTAAAATCTCTGTTACTTTAAGCAACTACACTGCCAAATGCTTCATCATGAAGGAATAACTAAAAAGAAGAACAGATACTTGCAATACATTTACTGAATAAATGAAAGACAAAGAATCACCTGGTTAGGACACTGAATGCGATGATACTTCTTGATATCTGTCTTCCATTTGTGTAGTACTTCCTGGCTGAAAGTAGGCAGCCCAGGTCGAGTATATTTTAACTAGGAGACAAGAAACAATGCATTATAGGGGTGCAACTCCCAACCAAAATAACAGAATACCTACCTCCTCACACATACCTCTTCAGGTTATGTACCTCAGGAGTCCACAGGTATATGCAAACACAGTAAGATATAAAATCCTCTAAAGTTCATGTTGGTAAATATAAGACTACTGTCTAAAATTTTTTTTTTTTTGTATTTTCTTTTTTTTTAATTTTTTGTATTGGAAATTGAATTCAGGATCCCGCACTTGCAGGGCAGGCACTGTGCCACTGAACTATCCCTCTGCACTGAAAAGATTGTTTTTCAATAGAGGACAGAAGACTTATAAAATTTTTTCTGTAGATAAAACAGGAAGAATGACAAAGTATTAAAAAGAAGCTTTTCATAAAAATTGAAAATAACCAGGTGCGGTGGCACACATGTAATTCCAGCACCATGGAAACCAAGAAGACAGTGAGTTTGAGTGTGAGTTCAAAGCCAGCATAGATTACTTAGCAAGATCCTGTTTCCGAAAAAAAAAGAGCAAGGAATACAAATATGTACAATATTGCTATACTCATTCAACAAAAATACATGGAGATGGCAAAAGATCTAAATCAAAATATTAATAGTGGTATTCCCTATCTGACAGAATTTTGAATCATTTTAATCTTATTCTCGTTTATCAGTATGTCTGTATTTTCTTCAATGACCTAGGCTGAGTTTTAATAGCTGGGTTTTTCTGGTTTTGTTTTTTTTTTCTTTTTATGAATTTAAAATAGGGTCTACAGGGTCTCACTACACAGATCAGACTTGTAGTGATCCTCCTGTTTTCAGTGTTCCAAGCACTTGGATCATAGGCATGCACCACCATGCCCAGTCTCATTCACCATCTCAGCGTGCTCTGGGGGCGGAGCCAGCATGGCACACTGGGGATCGAACCCCAGTAGTCCACTGAACTATCTGGCCAGCCCTTAATAGTTTTTAAATTTTTTTTTTTTTTAATTTTATTTATTTGTCTGTGTGTGTGTGTGGCCAGCTCAGCCCACCAGGAGGCGGGGCGGGCTGGCATGTGGTGCTGGGGGATTGAACCGTGGTCCCTGTGCTTTGCTAAGCTTGTTCTAAGTAGGTGCTTTAGACCACTGAGCCATCTCACCAGCCCCTAGTTTTTAAATTCTAAAACAACAACAAAATGTTAAGGCAGATCATATGAGAAACATTAGAACACAAAGCATCATCTTTGCTTGTGCTACAAAAGTAGTTACTGCTAGCTTGCCTTCCTTCCCACATGCTTGATTCGAGCTACATGTGCAGCTGGGGATGTATATAACAGAGCTACATGGGCAGCTGGAGATGTACAGCAGAGCCCGCACCTATGCAGAGAGGTCCTGCTTGGCCCTCAGCAGAAGAGCTGTGTTTTTGGCCACAAATAGTCCTGCTTCAACAGTGGATGCATCTCATACATGCTGGTTCTCCGCAGCAGAATAACAAACCAAAACTTACAGGCAATGGGGGAAGGCAGGTGCTGAAGGAGCCTCTAGAAAAGCTAGATCAGGGCACACAGCTGGCATTACTCTCCTCTACAGCTAGTGTAAATGTGCCCGAGAAAACCCTTTTACATTGAGGGAATACTTACACAAAATTCTAATTACGTCATTTAAGGGCCAGGGAGACAGTTCAATAGAATAAGCGCTAGCCTGGCAAGCGAAGGTCCTGAGTTCAATCTCCAGTACCGCAAAAATAAATAAATAAATAATAACATTATTTACCTAAACTTTGTAAACAACTGGAAAAATGAAGAATCAGCATGATCCCTATGAAGATTTATTACGTGATTTCCTGGACATAATGTTAAGTGAAATAAAGCTGAATGCAAAAGGTAAATAAAGAAATAAGGCAAAATAAGAAAATATAGACGTATCTGATTATTCACCCATAAAACTAAAGAAACAATCCAAAGAAATTAGTAAGCTTGGTTATCTTTAGGGATAGGCAGGAATAGGGCAGAAAGGAAAAATGGGAATGTAATACTTGGAAATAGATACTGACTTCCTTTTGTATAGGTCTGGTTTAGAACAGTGGCAATGTCCCACAAGCCATCAGAAATGTCCACGCACTCAGAAATGATTAAATACTTTAAATTCAATAAAAGGTGGGCACACAGGAACATAATGAAGGAGGAGGGCAAGACAAAAGTCAATCTAAGTTGAAAAACATGACTTTGACCATAAACTGTAAGGCTAAAGATGAAAACTACTGTACATACAAATAAGTAATATTTTCTAGTTAGTATATCTGCTGCTTTATAGGGGAATGGATTAGCAGATCTGACTACACAATGTTATACCAGATTTCAGCAAATTTGTAACTATTCTGTACAAAACCACAGACTGATGTCTCTATTTTGGACAAAAGAGTTAAAAAATGAAACAGGAAGGCTACAATGAAATTTGTATGGTTGCACTGCAATCAAAATATGAGCCTCGGGAGATGATGCATGCCTATGATCCCAGCACTCGGGAGGATGAGGAGGGAAGACCATCACAAATTCAAGGTCAGTCTGGGCTACATAATAAGCTCAAGCCAATCAGAATCTACATAGCAAGAGTCTCTCTCAAAAATAAAAAAAGAAATAGGTATCTTGGGCTTTTAACATACCTACAGATAGAGGGGCAGAGAAATATGGATCTATCCATATATATGAATATACAAATATAGTGGAACTCTGCACCAAGAAGGCACAAAAGCAATAAAAGCCTAGGAGGAATGAACATACCTAGCAATGGAGTCTAAATTTCTAAATATATTTTCTTGAAAAGAACCAAGGTCTCCTAGAAAAATGATTGACTCCAGGGCTAGGGCAAGAAACATCTATGCTAAACCTTCACTCTCCTCTGGTGTTAAGTAGAACAGTGCTTAAAAAAAAATGACAGGAAATGTCAGACAGACACGAAAGTCCATGTGAAAGAGCTCTTAATAGCACAATCTGGTGTTACTGAGCAGTTACCAGCACAGGATTACAACTCACAGAATAAAGCAAGAAACTAAGTATGTGAGTGTCTAGATAGCTGGGTCCCCGCAAATTCTCAGATTCCGCATTTGCTGATTGAACCAATTAACTGTATCTTTTTCTTTTCTTTTTTTTTTTTTTTTTTGGTACTAGGTACCAAACTCAGGACCTTGTGCTTGGCAGGCAGGCACCTGTGCTGCTGAGTTATATCCTCAGCCCTTAACCAACTAACTGCTGAAAACAGGACCTTGTGCTTGCCAGGCAAGTGCTTATTCTACTGAGCTATCTCCCCAGCCCCCCAAAAATACATTTTTAATAAAAAACATTCCTCATGCACTGAGTATGTATAAACTTGTTTCTTGTAATTATCCCCCCAAAAGTCATTATTTACATTGTACTGGGTATTATAAATAATCCAAAGATGTTTGAAAGTGCATGGTAGGATGGGCATAGGTTTTATACAAATACTACACCAAGGTAAGTCCTGAGCATCCACAGGTTTCAGTATTCTTAGGGGTCCTGGAACTATTCCCTTACTAATAACTAGGGACTGTATTAACATAAATAAATAAAACAAAAGGACAGATTTTTTTCACACTAGAACTTCAATTTGGGGCCAGGTAGATGGCTCAGTGGAATAAGCACTTAGCTGGCAAGCACAAGGGCCTGAGTTCAATCCCCAGTTCTGCCAAAAAAAGAAAAAGAACTTCAATTTATCCTTGCAGAACAAATGACTGAATCAAATTTTCATTAGGCCACAAATATAGTAACACATGTTGTAGGCAAGAATTGTCATCAAAAGGGGCTGGGGAGACCCAGTCCTAGCCCAGGTTCAGTAAGTGTGTGGGAGAGCTTCCTCTTCCCCCTACTTCACCTTGCCCCCTCCAGGCACAGCTCAGGCCTGGCATACACGCCTGGGGTGTAACTCTGCAGCTGCAATCACTGCAGAGAGTGTAGAGGATAGATCTACCCAGCTAGTCCAGGAGCAGAACATCTTGCCACAGGAGCACAACAGGTTCACCCTCAAGGGCAGCAACGGGAAGGAGCTGAGCACAGCGGCCAGACCCAAGCCAGGCACAGCTGGATAAGTCCAAACTTTGTAGGGCTGCACCTGAACTTCAGTATGTGCGAAGGTTATAACTACAGCAAAGATCTACAACAAAGGTCAGAAGACAGTGCTACACAAAATGACGAGAAGGAACAAAATGCAACCTCAGAACCCAAGCCCACCTGTAACAAGTGCAGAGGACACTAACACAGAAAAAATTGGAAATCACATAGCTGAAAGCAATGAATCAACGGCTTCTGAAATAAAGAAACAGCTGCAGAAAGATATAGAGGACCTCAGATTGGAAATAAAAAAAGAAATCCCTGAATTAATAACATCTGCACTAAAGAATCAAATGCAGAAACATATGGAAGAAACCCAGTGCCCACCTAGAACAAGTACGGAGGACACTAGCTCGGCTCAAATGCATGAATTAATAGCGTCGATAGTAAATAAGCAACAGCAGAAAGATATAGAGGAAATCAGAGTGCAATTCTTTTCTGAAATAAAAAGGGGCTGGGGAGATGGCTCAGTGGAATAAGCGCTTCCCTGGCAAGTGCAAGGGCCTGAGTTCAATCCCCGGTTCCACCAAAAAAAAAAAAAGAAAGAAAAAAGAATTGTCATCAATGTATGCTAATACAGGTGGGCAAAAAGTAAGATGGTCTCAATCTTCCCAGAACATATTAACTAATTTTGGGGAAGACTATAATTGTACCATGGAGATACCTGGAGACACACCTTGGCCAATGCATCAGCAATCATCATCTATATAAAACACAGCAGGAACATGTAGCTTCTGACACAATGCAAACAGGCATCAATACTGCCTGGGTGGGTGATACTCCTACCAAACCACGTAATCTTTGCCCTGACCTTGAGAAAACGCCACACAAAACCATACTGATAAATATTCTACAAAACAGCCCACTAGTACTACCAAGACATCACTCACAGAGACACAAAGCCAGGACCACATTAACGAACTAGAGGAGGAGGAGACAGTAAGGAAATCAAAGGTGGGGTTCCCATGTGGCCTGTGGCAGTTGCCAAAGGTGCTGGCAGCAGTGGGAGCTGGGCAGAGACTGCCCGGGACATCTATACCAGTTCTACAACTGCTCTCTAAGTCTAAAAAGCACACAAAAAGTTCTCACAAATATACGTCCTTTCTGTCCATAAACAAAGCCTAGTGGGGCTGGAGAGATGGCTCAGTGGTCTAAAGCACCTACTTAGAACAGGCTTGGCAAAGCACAGGGACCACGGTTCAATTCCCCAGCACCACATGCCAGCCGGCCCCGCCCCCTGGTGGGCTGAGCTGGCCACACACACACACACACACACACGCAACATAAATAAATGTAAAATAATAATAATAATAATAAAATTTAAAAAAAACAAAGCCTAGAAAGATGCAAAAGAAGCTGCTAAGAGTGAAGAAGCTTGGTGAGGGAACAGAACATGGACAAGCTGGTAGGCTCTCAATGTTGATCATCATTTTCATTCTGAGCCACAAAAGAAGTTCTGTTGCTAGCAAAACAAATGGAAACCACTTACCTCTTAAACCACTATATCTGCACAAAACTGATAGAAACACACTGGATGATGAGCAAGTAAAAACTCCTACCTGGGAATTTCAGGTTCCTTGTGGAAGCACCTCAGAATTCAGAGGGCCATATGGGGACTTCCAAAACGGACTGTGAGGGGCTGGTGAGATGGCTCAGGGGTCTAAAGCACCTACTTAGAACAAGCTTAGCAAAGCACAGGGACCATGGTTCAATCTCCCAGCACCACGTGCCAGCCAGCCTGCCCCCTGGTGGGCTGAGCTGCCCCCCCCACACAAATAAATAAAATTTAAAAAATTAAAAAAAAAAAAAACGGACTGTGAGGCTAAGACCTACCTGAATCCAAACATGTGAGCCAGCTCAGATGTGCTCCATCTCCAAGAGGAAAGAGGCAGAATATTCTTATCATGTGCTTACTTACGCAAGTGCCTTTATTTTTCTCAACATCACACAGAGAATTAAACATAACGGTTTCAAAAGTAGTATGAACTTCCACCCTACCTTCCGGTCATCAGGTACCAGGTCCTGGAGCACTTTCCTCTTAGGCCACTCCTTGGCCAGTTCAACAGAGGCCAGCTCCTGCAGGTGGTACACAGCAATCTTGGCAGAGCGTCTCTGAACTCGCCCCCCACTCTTTGCTTCCAGATTCATCTCCTTTAAGCAGTCTGGCTGTCCTGACTCCGGAAAGAAGGAGACCTGCAATAATGAGGCACAGCAGAACACAGGCTGAGAAGTGGCTGCTGTCACTAGAGATAAAGGCTGTCTTTCCTACTCTAAGTATCAAAAGGGCTGTCTATCAGCTTGCTAACCTTAGATATCAAGCCCTGCCACATTAACATTATTCATAAAAAAATGCTGCTTAGCAGAATAAAATTTGTTTTTGTTTTTTTTTGAGACAGGGTCTCACTATGCTGTTCAGGTTGGCCTTGAGCTCACTCTGTAGCCCAAGCTGGCCTCGAACTCACAGTGATTCTCCTGCCTCTGCCTCCAGAGTGCTGGGATTACAGGCATGCGCCACCATGCCCGGCTGTTCTTTCTTAATAAGTGAAAAAAAAGGATAAAAAGTCAAGAAACATTCATATACAAAGATTTTAATCACAGAAACACAAGCCTGAAATCCTAGCACTTAGGGAGGCTGAAAAGGTTGCATGGACAACATAGTAAGATCTTGCCTAAAAACATCAATAACTACATAAAACAGGCTGATGATGTAGCTCAGTAGTAAAACATACCTGGATAGGACCCTTCAAAAAACAAAAAAACTCCAATCCATACCTTGTAATATATACAAAAAATAATTCACAACAGACCAAAGTGCTAACCACAAAACATAATATTTATAAAATTATAAAACTTCTAAAACTGAGGACAAAAAATGTGTTTGATTCTGAAGTGTCACCTTGGCTAGATTATGTAATCATCGGCAGCTAGAGATTACCACAAAACTTCTAAATGGAGGAATGTTTTCAGTTTCGAAAAATGATAGTTTACTTCTCCCTAGACTATACTCACACCTTTCACTGATCCAACCTAATAATGTTCAAAAGGCAGAAATAACAACAGAGTCAAGAATGAACAAGGAACAGAGACCAGAAACATTCACGGAGTAAAAGGTGACACTTAGGAGGAACCAAGAGATAGGCACTCACCACAAAGGACATCACTCACAAGGTCTAAAGAGGCACTGGTACTCACAGGTGCATGTTCTGACCTCAGGTGATATGCGAGACCAGCCTTAGACCTATATGGTTTTTCACAGTGGTGACATTTTAAGGTCATCTTCTCCAGCTCTGCAGCCTCTTTGCCACACTTTCTAACATGGTACAGATATCCCATGATGCTGCTGAAGGTACTGGAGCAACTCTGAACACAGGAGACAGCCCCACATCAGAATCTTCCATCCTCTGACATAATCCCTTCCAGATCTAAAAAGCTACGAAGCATTCACTACAACACAAAGTCACTAGTCTAATTAGCTACTAGTCTAATGACTAGATCTGACTAATAAGTAGATCTGATGAGACCCTCTCCACTACTTTCCCTTCTCCCTGGCCAGCTGTCTATTTGCCATCAGAGGAGGTTGGTGTGGTGAGCACTCACTGAGCTATACCCGGGCACGAACTCTGTGTCCAAGCTTCCTGCTTGGTCTGTGACCCAAACCCACCCCAAAATCAAATAGCCAGTAATATCGAAGCTCATCACAGTGACAGAGATCTGATTCACCATGTTTACGTAGGGGACAGGAATGATATACCCTGAAGACAGAGGAATGAGAAAAGATAGATTACTGGAAATAAGAAAGAAAAGAAAGAACTACTAAGGAGTTCAAGAGCCCTGAACAGTAGGGGCCATGCTTCTGACTTCAGGTAGCACAGAATCAGGATGTCTACAAAGGAATAAGAGAACTAAAAACAGTGGCAGACGCTGACCTGAGTCCCGGAAGGAGGAGCTGCTGTCCCTAGACTCTTACCTCTCGCATGCACCTGAGTTTTCCCAGTCTCTTTAGAACTGTTCGGAGCCGTTCCTTCTCACTTGGCTCATCAATTTCATCTCCAGTCTTTGAAATGGGCTAAAAATCAAGGAAATCATATGATTAGATGATTAATGGAGAAGACACACACAGAAAAAGAAAAACCATACAGACTCAAGAATTACACTAGTAGCTAAGTTGTGCCACTACATCCAAGTTTTGGTTCTCTCCATCTTCTGGACAGATCAGGAGGAAAAGAGGATAGAACTAATAGTTCTAACCCTCTATCTCTCATGGTACCCCTCTTTTGGGGCTAACCTAAATACAAATATTATGGTCCATGCAAAGGTACCTATCTCTTATACAGAAAGGTCTTGCTACTCATACCCCTAGGAGGTATGATGCCTCAGCCATCTGCAGTGAGATATCTTCACACACCTTAGTAAAAGATCCCCAAGGACCACACAGGATAGAAGACAAGCTTACCAAACTATTATGATTCGCCATGACATGATACTTCATCCCTGCCGAGGAACGCAGTTGTTTCCCACAGTGATGGCAAGTAAACATTTCCTAAAAGGGAAAAATTGGTGCTCAGTGGCAGGCCATTCAACAGAGAAGCAGAATGCTATCCACTGTCACATAATGAGCTAGGGACTTAGCATGTGTTACTTTTTTCTCCTCTAACAAGGTATTTATTATTTTTTCCCCATTCTACCAATGAGGAAAACAAAGCCCACAAGTGAAAAAGAAACGTCACAACTAGTATGTAGCAGGATGGGAGGCAAATACAAAGTCTATCTTTTTTTCTACCACACAGCACTGCCACTAATCAGCTCTTATTAGCATAATGAACACAAAGCAGAGGTCTAAAGTTTTGATGAAAAATCCTAATAGTTATAAAATGTCAAATAAGTAACCTGTTTGCAGTTTTCCATGTGTTTCTTCAAACCCTCTATGGTCTTCCTCCCTACTACCTGGCAGGTAGGACAGGAAACACTGCCTTTATCCACAATTTCTAAGTACCACTGTTCCTCCAAACTGCCTAAAAGAAGAGAAAGGGACACTCTGTGATCTGCAGTATGGTCCAGAAACAAAAAGCACAATACCACATTTAGGAAAAGCATAATAGGTGTCTTCCCTTTCCTGGTAGACATGGTACAGCTTCTAGAATTCATGTTTTTCAGTAACATGTAAAGTTTCAGAAACTCCTGCACATTTCCTGACATTCAGAAAATGTCTGAACCATGCCAAAGCCCATGGCTTAAAGCCTGGGTAACATTTCTCATACCAGGATTGAACAGGGAAGAGCACAGAGATAGGCAGCAGCCAGTCTGCTGAATGGTTGCTACACGCTGAAGTTCACATTAAGTGTTTTCAAGCCCTTCAATACTGTCAACAATGCTATCTTTATCATAACCACTATAGACAGGAAAACTCAGGCTCACAAAACTGAAATAAATTATGGCAGTTCAGGAAGTCAAGACAGCCAAAACTCAAAGTAAGAGCTAGGCCCCTAAGCATTTCCTCTATATAGAAATGCTTCAGTGTGTCCTTCCTCACAGACAACAACAAAGCAGAGTAAGCTACACCCCAAGAAGTCTCCCACAGAAAGCCTACCTGCTGCATAAACTGGTGGTTCCTTCCGTATACGGCGAGCCTGGGGTTTGGGATTAGGCTGAGTTTTAGGCCGTTGCCTCCTCCCTGACAAGACAGAAACTTGAAGCCTGACATGTCCCCCTGACCAACCCCCTCCAGCAGCAAAACCCCTTCCCCTCCTTTTCCTAAAACACTCTAGATTCCACTCTCTCAAACCATAATGACTCTTTAACTCATGACTCAATGAAAGGGTACAGTCAAGGCAGGGTGGTGGCTATTCCCTCCCTCCACATGCAAAGGGCTCAAAACTGAAAGGCCAAAGTCAGTATCTCTGGCCCTTTAATCCTCAAAGAATAAAGCTCAGTCATCTCAGGAAAAAGAAATAGCAAAGTGCCTCCCATACCATAAAGTTTATGCTTCTTCTGAGGAAACTGTCCATAGTCTTCATCCTCTTCCTGCCGGGGTTTCCTCTTCCCTTTGGCAGACACTCCACCTGACCCTGGTAGACAATGGAAACACAAAGCACCAGCTCGGGTCTGGTCTTGCCTTCAAAACATCATCCACAGGACCCTCAAGGGAAAGATCCCCCATGGTGCAGGCCTCACAGAGGTACTGTCACATTTTCAGGAAAGTCTATGTAACTTCTCATTAACTGACTGAACCTCTCCTCTTCCCTTTAAATTGTTCCCTTTCAGGAATCATCAATCATTTGTATTTGTAGGAAGCCTCTCCTGGTCCTCGTCTCAATCCAAGAAGTTTATATTTGTAATCCCAAAAATATATTATTGGAAGCCCACCAAGTTAATTCGAATCTACCACTTCCAGTGTTAACCCATGCTGAAAATAAAGACACTAAAGCGTATTTATAATTATGGGGAGCCAAGGGGTCCTAAGTCCATCCATGAAGATGGCTTTCCGGAACAAAGGCCTTGACCAGGGCCAAACCTGGGGGTTTTATTCAATCATGAAGGAGGTGTGGCTCAAGAATAAATGACAGAATTGTGGGAAGTAGGTGAGTACTATGAGCTGAGCTAGGTAGGTAGACTGCATTTACCTTTATCATATGCAGAGAAGGAGATGCAGAAAAAGCAATTTGCCTTATACTATTGAGATAGTATCTTATGTTTTGGGGTCTTGTGCTTCAGCTCTGATATGCAATCTTTCAAGCCTCAGAAAGTCACAGCCTCTGTCTCAAGGCTTCATTACGGCCAGCAGCATGGAGCATTGGCTCTTAGTCCTGTCTCCACTAGGCGCATATTAAAGAGCAGCTGGTGTGGGTTATCAGGGAAACATGCGTGCCCTCTTCAAAGACTACCGCCAGCACCTGGCTAGACCACTATGCATTGCTTAAGGCCAACTGAAAGGATAGAGAAGTCCTAGCCAGCTCTGTACATATCAATACAAGGAAATAAGGTCAGGATCAGCCAAAATGGAGACAACTGCTCTTCTTTCAAGGAGAGCTGCTCCAATGGTCCTCCACAGTACTGAATAGGGGCCTTGAGGAAGTAAGTTTTGTGTGACCTTAGCTGACGCTACCACTGAAGAAAGGCTCAAGATACAGGGCTCCCAGGATTTTTCAGAATGTGCCCCCTCCAGAATATGATCGTACTATCACCCTTTCCTTAGCCACTATATCCTCAAAAAAGGAGCAAACTACGAGTGTAAAGGAAGGAAACTCAAATTTGCCAAAGGAGAAGGTTTATTCTAAATCTATCGTAGAAGAGTAGAATCAGCAGAATGGACTTTAATACATTTAGAGTCACTTACAGCAGGAACCACTAGGACTTCAGAGTATCCACTGTCTTGAGAATAAGATGCTGATATTTATACCTTCAATGTGAGGAGAAGCAGCTTGCTTGATCTTCTTCATTTTCCTCCAGTATGAAGATTTTCGGAAGGATGCTGGGAAATCATTCACTTGTTCACATGAAGAGGCAGATGAAGAACCACTTAAGGAGTCATCATGAGGGATGGTGTACTGGAAACTGTTGTCCTTTATGGGAGAGCACTGGGTCCTGCTACTAACACAATGCAAAGATATATACCACAGAGAAGGTTGGTGCAAAATTCCTACTCATCCTTTTGTAGCGTAAGATGACACCAGTTCCTTGTGCAAAAAACTAAAAGGCCTGATTCTCCCTGCCCCTTTGTATCTGCCCAATACAGACAGACTCATTCAAAGGCACTCTGAGGACAGAGAAAAATAGACCCTACGGCACAAATGGCAAATCTTTTAGAGACCAAGTGCCTAACTGTAACCCAAAACTCCTTTATCACAAAGTACAATTAAACCTAAATACTAAAGTTTTAGTTTAGAAAAAGAACTCTACATTAACATCTTCTGTCTTAAGAAAAAAAAAAAAAAAAAAACAAAGTATAGGTTCACCACATAGTATAAGACATAGGTTCAGGGGGCTGAGGAGGCAGCTGAGTAGAATAAGTGCTTGCCTGGCAAGCACAGGGTCCTGAGTTCAATCCCCAGTACCACAAAAACAAAAAAACAGAAAGACATAGGTTCGGCACCACTGCCCTACACCCTGATTTGATCTCTTTCTCTCACTCTTCCTGAGCTTTCTATCTAAACCCTGAGGTCAGGACAGCCTGTCTCTTTAAGGAAACATAATACTCAGCCTCCACAGCTAAAGAAAGAATGTTATCTTGTCTGAGTTGAGCTGGCCAGAGAATCCTGGTAAACAGCTATATTCAAATTTCTTAAATCTAGTATGAGTCAGTACCTCAGGGAAGAAACAGTACTGAGAAACTACAAAGCCCAAGCATCCTAGATGACTCAAACTGCAATAAACAAGAGGCTCAGGAAGTGTGGTCCAAGGCCCCCCAAGACCTGCCTGTTCCAGTTAAACACCTGCATGGGGCCTGCTTTAGACATATGTTTTGGAAAGAGCACTCTGGCTGCTGCGTGGAAAACAGGCAAAGAATAAACAGAGTGAAAAGTTAGCTTGCTAGCACACTGCAACAAAATGAAGATGCAAAGACCCTGGGTTTAATCTTCAGTACAAAAATAAAAAAGAAAGCCTCTTAGAGAGAGAGAGAGAGAGAGAGAGAGAGAGAGAGAGAGATCCATTGATTGGGGCCAGAAGCAACATTCTGTAGGCCAGATGGAGATTCAAGAGAACACCATACAGAGCTAATAAGAATGTCACAGTATAAAAGATACAAAAAAAAAAAAAAAAAAAAAA